AATGTGTACAATGGCAGTTAACTCTGTAGCAACTGCTGGTGCAAACAAGGGGAGGAGAGATGGTGCAGTGGTAAAGAATCCGCCTGCCAATACACGAGACATAAGAGACGTGGGTTTAATTCCTGGATTGGGAAAATCCCCTGGAGTAGGAGATGGCAACCCACTCCAGCATTCTTGCCTGCAAAATTCCATGAACAGAGGAGCCTGGTGGGTTGCACAGTCCATGGGGTCACAAAGAGTCAGACATGACTGAGTACACACATACACAGGGAAGAGTTGAAAGAAAGGGGTAGAAGGAAAGAGTGCTTGTGTGAGGACTTTCAAAGTATAATCACAGTGGGTGGGGAAACTCAAAAGGCACTGCAGCAGGAGATGTGTTTACGTTCGTGTTAAAGCATCCTCTTCCAGCTTGGGGATGAAGAGGCAGCGTCCTCAGTGGGCGTCAGGTGGCGCCACAAGCCTACAAACCAGAGTCCAGCCTTGTGTGGGAAAGCAGACGAGAAGGAATGAAAAAGTGAAATCTCAGAGCCCTTGTCAACCTGACACAGCTGCCACTTTGACAGTGGCAGTGTCTTAGGTCAGGGGTTTCCATTTCAATAAACCCATAAAATTCAACATACAGACCATTCCACTCATCTGGATTCTTCTTAATTACCAAGGGACATGTTGAAACATGCATACTGTTTGTATATTACTTAATATAAAAATAATATCATAACCAGCATCCCAAAGTAGGACAAGCTGTTTCTATAGGCAAATACGGCAGTGAAACAACAGCTCTGGTAGAGAAAAGAAAAGAGGAAAATGTGATGAACATCCGTGACAACTGTGGTGGAGATGAGTGACCCAATATCACCCAGCCCTCTGAGATTTCTCTGGTGGTCCACCAGTTAAGAATCTGCTTTCCAATACAGAGGGCATGGGTTTGATCCCTGGTCAGGGAACTAAGATCCCATATACCGTGTGGTACGGCCGAAAAAAAAAAAGAAGAGTACAATTCCCAGTTCTCTTTGAGCTGGTGTGGATGCATAGCTAAGCCCTGACCTGTAGAACATGAATGGAAAGGGAAGGTTGTAGGAAATTCCCTTAAGAGACAGATGGCAGGCATCTTCCTCCATTCTCTGCCTACAACACGGTTTCGATGCCAGCCATTCCACCTTATACCTGAAGGTAGGAGTTTCACCCTAGAGATAATCCCAGAAGACTGTGAGGGCTCTTTAGGAGCCCTGAATTGCCTACCTCTGGCCTTTTATGTGAGAAAAATAAACTTAAATAATGAGTAAGCCATTGTTATTTTGGGTCTTTAGTTCTCACAGCCAAACATCATCCAACTGACATTTCACATAAGAGCCCTGGCTTTGTTTTTCATTTTCTTTTTTGGCCACAACACACAGCATGTGGGATCTCAGTTCCTGACAAGGGACCAAACCTGTGCCTCTTGCCTCTTGCATTGGAAGCACAGAGTCTTAACCACTGGACCCCCAGGGATGTCCCTCTGGCTTTGTTTTTAAAGAATAACTTTTGTATTTTAAAAATATTTGAATAAAGAAAATGGAAGATAAGAGACTTCCCTGGTGCTCCAGTGGCTAAGACTCTGTGCTCCCAATGCAGAGGTCCCCGGGTTCGATCCCTGGTCAAGGAACTAGATCCCACATGCAGAAACTAAAGATCCTGCGTGGTGCAACTAAGACCTGATACAACCAAAAAAAGAAAGAGAAGTAGAGAAGATGGTGACAGAGATGTAAAGACAACTCTCAAACTTATAAGGCTGAGGAGCATCATAAGGAGAAGAGGGAAATGTCAACAACAATAATACATTAAAAATGTTGCTAATTGGAGTCTTCTTTCAGTGCAGTCTAAGAAGAGGGAAAGTCCGGAGTGGGAGGATTAAAGACCTACAAAGCTCCTGCTGTTGAAACAAGCTGGGCTCTCCCACTAACTCTGAATTACTTACCAAACTAGTAACCAGTGGGGTGTCATCAAGGTCACTGGTTTCTGAGATGAGAAAGTTAACAAGTAGAGGTGAAGTTTAAGGTATTAATCATTCAATATTGAGTCACCATGGACAGACACTTTTCCAACAAGTAGTTTACTTTTATATTTACTGAACTTTCTGGGATGGTAGTAAGATGTGAGATAATACATCATAATTATGTGTTTCACGAGCATGTGTGCTCAATCATGTCTGACTCTCTACGACCCCATGGACTGTAGCCTGCCAGGCTCCTCTGTCCATGGGATTCTCCAGGTAAGAATACTGGAGTGGGTTGCCATTTCCTCCTCCAGGGGATCTTCCCGACCCAGGGATTGCACCCAGTTCTGCATTGGCGGGCAGATTCTTTATCACTGCAACACCTGGGAAGCCCACTTACATATTTAGTAGTAGTCTTTTCCTCTGGAAAAAGGAATGCTTTGATAGTAAAGACCAGTGGCCCATTAAATGGGAAAATCACAGATGGGTTCCTCCCAGAACAACAAATGAGGCCCAACAGTAAACAAGGCCCTTAACCGTGTCTCTAGTCTAGAGATATCCTTTGCTTGACATTTGGTGTTAGCAATATATAGGCAACTATAGCTGTTTGTGCTCTTTTTTATTTGCTTTTGAACTTCTATCTTTGGATACTTATAATTGATTTAAAAATAAAGTTCTGTGGCTGAGATTTTTTTTAATCTCTTAAATAGAAGTCCTTCGAACTGCCTTGGATCCAAAACAATCTGCATCCTGTCCTGCTTTTCCTGGGTACTCCAGCAAGAATATCTACATTGGAGTCCTCAAGACCACTCTCAGATTCGATGATTTGCTAGCAGGACTCACCAAACTCAGGAAGCAGGTTCATTAAAGTGAAAGGATGCAGATTAAAATTAGCAAGGAGACGGGCTCCCCTGGTGGTCCGGAGGTTAAGACTGCATTTTCAACTGCAAGTGGCAAAAAGTTCTATCCCTGGTCAGGAAGTTCCACATGCCATGAGGGAAAGAAAGAAAAGAAAGAAAAGAAAAATCAAAAATCAAATCAAAGAAAAAAAAATTAGCAAACAGAAAAGGTGCATGGGGTGGAGTTCAGGAGAGACCAGACACAAACTTCTGGTTCTCCCTTTCCCGGGGAATCAAACAGACAGTGCATAATTCTCCCAGCAACAATGTACGACAACACATACATGGCGCTGCCAACCAAGGAAGCTCAAGCCTTTCAGTTCAAGATTTCTGCCGGGGGTCAGTCATGGAAGCATGGAGTGCCAGTGTGACTGACCTTAGCTATTCAGTCTTTGGCCCAGATGCAGTGTGGCCCAAGCCCCTAGGCATACAAAAACAGGTGTTCACCATGCATCACACACATTGTTAACATAAACTATCTGGTATGCCCAAGGCCTCAGATATACAAATTCTCTTAGCAGGCAAGATATCCCAAGGGCTCAAAGGTTATCTCCCAGGATCTGGTTAAGGGCCAGCCTTGGAAATCTTGGGAATGGGCAGAGTTTGGCAGCCCAGACCACCGAACTCTCCCTCTATTGTTATAACAAAGCCATAAAAAGTAATAATAATAACCCCAACACCTTTATGATAAAGAAACATTATGTGAGCTAGCTTCTGAAGGCCTTGGGAAGAGTCCAACCAAACCTTTTTTTTTTTAAGATTTTTGATGTGGACTATTTATAAAGTCTTTATTGAATCTGTTACAATGTTCCTTCTTTTGATGTTTTGGTTTTTAAGCCGAGAGACATTGTAGGATCTTAACTCCCAGACCAGGGATTGAACCCACACCCCCTGCATTGGAAGGCAAAGTCTTAACCACCAGACTGCCAAGCAAGTCTCAAAGCATGCATCTAACAGCGATGCATCAAGCATGGTGGCACTTAGTAAATGAGTCTGTGGACACAGGGAGGGCCATTACTGGTACCTCAGAAGATGGGAGATCTGTGTCTTAGAGCCACTCAGTTTTTCCAACCGTGGCCCTGTGACTAAGCCCATTCCTACAGCTCTTTCCCTCAGCTAGCTTCCTCCCAAATGTTTCCTTCATTTTTCCTTCCATCCCTTCCTCTCTGCTCCAGCTGTTCCAAGACCCCCTAAAATCCAAATTTCCATTCAGTCCCCTCCAAGCAAGCCATCCAAGCTCTAGGGCTTCCCTGAAGGGCCAGGACTAGACTGAGCCAAGAGAGGCACAAGGTCCTGCAAGAGATCAAATGCCTCCAGGAATTCCGTACCTCAGACACTCACTCTCGTCCTGGCCTCACATTCTGTCTTGAAAGGGTAACTACTCGGGAAACTGCACCTCCAGTCTTGCATGTGTTGAGAGGAAATGGGCAAGTTTGAGAAGAAACACAGAAACTGGGTTCTGGTAAACAATCGAGCATTAATTCTCACAAGCATGAGTGCATCTTCACATCCTCCTCTTTAATATACACCACCCCAGTGGCTAATTCAATCAACATTAAGTTTCAGAAAATAACTTTATTAGTCAGCATCCACTTCTCTCATTTTTACCAGGGACAATCCACCCTTTAACCCTTTCAAAGGTATGAGGGCTCTTATATCACAGCACCCTGGAATCTTTCTTCCCAATATAAACTACTTCTTGGTGGTGGAAAGCTTGCCAGGACCCTTCAGTTCAAGGTCTTCTTGCATTTCCCTAATTCCAGTAGAAAATTACTACAAGAGCTAACAGGAGCTCTGACCCTGACTGACAAGAACATTTGAACTACTTACATGGAACGACAAGTCAGAAAGCTTCCATTAATTTCCAAGGATTATGTCCAATGCTTTTCCAACTGGCGTGGTACTTCTGATGATTTAGAAAGAGGAAATGTAAACAAACTTTCTTCCACGTTTACCATTTGATCAAGGACTCACGTAAGAAATGTTATGAACCAAGGCAGTGCATACAGGGATCTGCCAGCAGCTTCGCATCACAAAATAAATACACAGAAACATTCCAATTGCTCAAGTTTTTATTGTCTCTTTTTTCAGAAGCAGATTCTCAGGCACAGGTCTAGTGAGGGTATCACCACATTCATTACATTCATAAGATTCTTCCCCGAAATGAAGTCTTTGATGTTGTTGTAAAGCTTCACCTAGGTCAGCGAGCATGTCCACGGTTTTGTTCTTTTTTTTTTTTCATGTCCGCATTTATCACAGCCAGTTTCTCTCCTGTATGAATTCTCTGGGTTTCAACCATCAGTATAACTGAAGACCTTCCAACACTTGGTGACGTTATTCACAGGGTTTCTCTCCAGAATGAATTGTTTGATGTTCAAGAGCTGATTAAAGGTTTTACAGCATTCAATAAATTATAGGGTTTCTCTCCTGAGTAGACTCAGTGATATAGAATGAGATGTGGACTCTGAGGAAAGGTTTTCCTGCAGTCATTATATTTAAATAGTTTCTCTTCTAACATGAAGTCTCTGAACTGTTAAGGCTGAATTATATCTAAATGTTTCCCCACACTCATTACATTCATAAGATTTTTTCCAGTATGAATTCACCAATGTTCAATGAGACCTAAGCTGTAGCTGAGGGCTCTTCCACACTCAACATACTCACAGGGGTTTGTCTCAAATGAATTTTCTGATGTTGAACAAGGTATGAACTCTTCTAGAAACTTTTCTCACACTCATTACATTCCTATGGCAATTTTCCACTGTGAATTCTCTGATGTTCAGCGAGTCAAGATTACCACCTAAAAAAGTTTCCCCACATTCCTTACATTCATTGGGTTTTTTCCACTATGATTCAACAACACCTAACAAATTCCAATTTCCCTTTAAAAACTCTCATAAAATTCATTGTTTATGATTTTTCTCCAGTAAGAATTATCCTGTGTGGAATATGATATACATTTTTTGGCCCCACATGTCACATTTTCACCTAGCTCACTGGTAAAAAATTTTTTAAAAATTGATAAAACTTTGTTGTTGGGGGGTGGGGGAACATGAGCCCTTGTTCATTACTTGAGGAATGCAAATTGGCACAAATTCCAGGAACAAATTTTCCCAATCAAAAAACGTGTCTACTTTTGACAGAGAAATTCTACTTCTAAGAACATGTTTTACAGATAGACTTCATTGTGTGTAAAATCACAATTGTACAAGGTTATTTAGTGCAAAATTGTTCATAATAGCAAATGGTTTGAAACAGTCTAAATGGATCAAAGGGAAGTGGTTAGCTAAATTATGATACAAGCATAAAATGAGACACTTTGTAGCCATGACTAAGAAAGAGGAAGCTCTGTGTAAACCAATATGGAACTACCTTAAAAATGAAAATAAGGTTCAGAATAGTCTTTACTGAGCATTATCAATTGTGAACTGAACATAACCAAAAACACACAAACAAAAACAAAGTGGAGTGGGTGGGAGGGAGGTTCAAGAGCGAGGGGACATATGCTTATTTATGGCTGATTCACACTGTTATAGGGCAGAAACCAACACAACACTGTAAAGCAATTATCCTCCAATTAAAAATAAATTTTTAAAAAACAGAGGGAGGAAAATCCCACAGATGTGACTGTATATGCACAGCCTATCTCTAACAGGATTGAGATCCTTATTCTAGGGAGAAAAGCTGGGTGCTGGTACCATTTAGGTTCGTTTTCTGCACCACACAAAATTATTGCTCATCTTAAAAATTAAATTGAAAAACCTGTGACATCTAGAAAAGAGACAAATGCAGAGGTGTGAATTCAGGCAGGTGAGGTTATGACAGAGCAAGGAAGTTAAGGGAGTGCATTATTTAAAACTGTAATCTGTTGCCCTTTCTGGTCCCACAGCTACAGGGCTTGGAAACTGACATTCTAAGGTAAAAAGCTAAGCAAGCTGAAAAATCAAAAACTTCTGAGATCCATAAAAGAAGTAAGGTCATAGGGCAAAAAACTATCCCCCAAAGTTGGAGAAACAGGTAACTGCAGAGAATCACATCACACTGGAGCAGAAACCTCCACTGGAACCAGTGTTGGGCTTGGGACACTGGAACTGAAACTTGGAGAATTACTGGAAACAATTCCAAGAGTGTGGACAAGTCTTAGAGTTAAATCTTCAAAAGAACGTGGTTCCAAGGGTGGGAGGGGCATGCTTTTGTGAATTTTATCTTCAAGAACTCAATCAACTTCTTTCAGTAATACTGGAGAAAAATCTCCTTGTGCTTGTAGCTAGGGAAGAAGAAAAGGAACTATTTTGAAATACTGCAGAGCACTTGGTTCTTAACAAGGACTGCCCTCAGGAGAAACTAGCTAATCAGAACTTAACCTGCCAGGGTTTCATCAAGCCTAACAGACGTGCAGAAAGGGAAATACCCAACTTCAGCCTCCTATAACCATCTGTCCCACCCAAGTGGGTCAGAAAAAAGGTAGAGAGAAAAAAAAAAAAACCTGAGAAATACTTAAGAAATTCACAATACAGAGGCACAGGCTCACTAAATGACTGAGACCTAATCACTGGCCTATAAAACACTCCCTGTCAGGAATCTCCTGTCAGTCCAGTGCTTAGACTCCCTGCTCTCACTGCTGAGGGCCCCAGTTTGATCCCAGGTCAGGGAACTAAGAGTCCCACATGCCTGTGGTCAAAAAACCAAAACATTTTTAAAATGGGAGCAATATTGTAACAAATTCAATGAAGATTTTTTTTTTAATGGTCCACATCAAGACAAAAATCTTAAAAAAAAAGTTATGAAGCATACTAAGAGCATACGCAGCTTTAAGAGACAGAGCAAGCATCAGGACCAGACATGGAGGAATGTTGGAATTATCAGACAGGGAATTTAAAACAACTATGATTAAATGCTAAGGACTCTAATATAATCAGTAAAACAAATAGTGTGCAAGAAGAGATGGGTAATGTAAGCAAAAGAGATGTATATTCTGAGAAATAACCAAGAAGGAATACTAACGATCAAACACTCTAACAGAAATGAAGAATGCTTTTGATGGGCTTGTGAGCTGACAGGGCAGAGTTGAGGAAGAATCTCTGAGCTTGAAGGATATCTCAAGAGAAAAGTCCAAATTAAAAATCAAAGAAGAAAAATAATAATAATAAAATAATAAAAATAAAAATCAAAGAAAACTAAAACTAAACAACAGAAACAAAATATCCAAGAACTATGGGACAACTACAAAAAGTGTGACAAGTGTAATGGGAATTTCCTCAAATTGATTAACATCAGACACAAAATGGCAGATCCAGAAAACCAAGAGGGAGCAAGCAGGATAAATGCCCCCTCCTCAAAAAAAAAAAAAAAACAAAAACTATACCTAAGCATATCATTTTCAAACTACATAAAATCAAACATAAAGAAAAATTCTGAAAGAAGCCAGAGAGAAAACATACATCACTTACAGAGGAGCAAAGATAAAAATTACATACAACTTCTCAGAAACCAATCAATCAAAAGAGTAAAGTGAAATATTTAAAGTGTTGAGGAGGGCCTTCCCTGGTGGTCCAGAGGCTTCGCCTTCCAAGGCAGGAGGTGCTGGTTCGATCTCTATTCAGGAAGCTAGGATCCCACATGCCTCACAGCCAAAAAAACAAAGTATAAAACAGAAGCAATATTGTAACAAATTTAATAAAGACTTTTTTTAAAAAAGGCTTCAGAGTAGCAACAATCATATAAAAAGAGGGGAGACTAAACAGCTAGCTTAGGAGACACCTCACCAAAGAAGATACACAAATGACAAACATATGAAAAGATGCTCCACATCATATGTCATCAGAGAAATGCAAATTAAAGCAATGAGACACCATTAAAACACCTATTAGAGGAACCTTAACTGATGGTCCAGAGGCTGACTCCATGTTCCCAATGCAGGGGGCCTGAGTTCAATCCCTGGTGAGGGAACTAGATCCCAAAAGCTGCAACTAAGACCTGGAGCAGCCAAATATATAAATATGGAATTAAAAAAAAACCACACCTATTAGAATACCTAAAATCCAGAACACTGACAACACCAAATGCTGGCAGGAACATGGAGCAAAAGGAACTCTCATTCATTGCTGATAGGAATGCAAAATGGTACAGTCACTTTGAAAGACAGTTGGCAGTTTCTTACAACGCTAACCCTACACTTACCATACGATCTATCAATCACGTTCTCAATATTTACCCAAAGGAGTTGAAAACTTACATTCACGCAAAAACTTGCAGGTAGATGCTGAAAATAATTTTATCAACAATTACCAAAACTTGGAAGCAACTAAGGTGTGCTTGAGTAGATGAATGGATTAACTGTGGCTCATCCGGAAGATGGAGGATTATTTATTGCCAGGAAGAAATGAGCTACCAAGCCATGAAAAGACATTAATAAAACTGAAATATATATTATTTAGTGAAAGAAGTCAACTTGAAAAAGTCACATACAGTATGATTCCAACTCTATGACATGCTGGGAAAGGCAAAACTATGGAGGCAGTAAAAAGATCAGCCAGGGGCTGGGAGGAAGGTGGGATGAACAGGAAGAGCACGGAGGATTTTTTGGGCAGAGAGTGTGGCTGAACCACACTGACTCCATACTGTCAGTTCCCTCTTAGGCTTGCAGTTCTCCCCTCTCATTACTGAACTTAAGCCTGTTCACAAAGAATGTGCCCAAGCCAGGGAAGTTCTCTGTCAACTTTTACCCTTACCTTCATCTGATATGAAAACTGAAAGAATGCCTTTTGCTGATGCAGATTATGATACCCCCCGAGGGTAGGAAAAAACCAAGGTTCCAGTCTGTGCAGCCCTGCTTCTCACATGCTAGTCAGATTCTATTTTTTTTTTTTTTTTCAGATTCTATTTTTAGCTTTGGCCCCTTTCCATCCCTCTGTACCTTCTGGATTGTCCAGCTGCTTATATGTAAATTCCCCACAAGAAACTTTGTAATTGTAGTTTAGGAAGTTGCCCCTTCATTTTTCTAACTCAAAGTTCCTTCTCAGTTCAGAGGATATTATTCAATATCTTCCTTTTCTTGGAATCAGCTTTATATGACACTATGGTGGATACATGTCATCATACACTTGTCCAAACATACAGAATACACAGCACCAAGAGTGAACCCTAATGTTAACTATGGACTTTGGATGCTGAAGATGTGTCAGTGTAGGTTCATCAATTGTAACAAATGTACCAAGCTGATTGGGGGCAGGGGCAGGGGGAGTGCTGCTAATGTGAGAGGCTGAGCACACCAAAAGTGAACCCTGATGTAAACTATGG